TCACGCGTTATGCATTTTGCAGTGCTGGACGAAATCGCCTTTATGAATTTTTGAGACGTTTGATTCTTGAACACTTCTGTACGTCTTGTGATCATGTCATGTCATTTATGTAGTCATCACCGATTCTCCTTGCCGTCAGCGGATTGTCGTTTTCCGTACGTCCGTTGCTGTTGATTCGTTCCCGGATACTTTTATTTTTTTCTTTGTAGACAATGGATCTTCGAGCGGTTGTCGTTGTGTTGCTGTGCTGTGTGGCAACCATCGTAATGGGGCAGGTTAGTTATTATTCTCTACTTTGGGAGATATTTCAATTCGAAAGATTCCTTTGAAAAAACCGAATAACCAATGTGGAGATGAACACCATTTTGACTTTATCACAAACCTGTGGACGAAAAGGCGAATAATTTCCGCCGTTTTCAAGTTTCTATAATATTTGACGGGTCTTATCCCCTAGGAAAAGTCCAGGGGGTTAGAGCACTGCGGTTTAGAGCACTCAATGCAAAACTCAAAACCACGGGAAGCATATTCTTTTATTGTAATCATTTGGGACTAAACCTTGGAAGTTGGGGAGACCCCGGATCCGACAGCAATCGTCGTTTTTCCCGGAGGAGTTTTTCGTCCTCCTTAGGCTTAGTCCCAGCTGATCACGGAGTGGTATCACTTTTTATGGACGTTTATCTCATCAAGTCTTAGAACGCATACATTATACAAAAATCTGACGAAATAGCGTAGGAATAAAAGTGGTAGCAGTTCATACCTTTGAAGGATTCCTCGATTCCACGCCGTAGATTTCTCGGAATTCTACATTATTCAATTTCAGCAGTAACTATGAACTGTTGTTGCTTACATTTTCCGAGAAAATTACATCATCAACACTGATTCACTTAGCTGGAATGGGTACTACTGTTTACTGTCGTTCGAAGTACTAAGCGTCAATATTAACGAATATCTTCAAGAGTCAGATGGGGTTCTTTTGTTATAAGTGACGATCAAAATGATCCTCTCTCATATCTTGTGAGTAGAATGAACTCATGAGATGAAATTATGAAGGCTGACGTAACACGCCCTTGCTATTTAGCAGCACAATTCCACCTGCCGGCACGTATGATCTCCATGTTTTCGAATATTCAAAGCACTTGCTGACTGGATTACCACACAATATTGGGAATTATTATATTATTTTTTCGCACCAAAAACAGACCTAGATAAAATTAGCGCGCAAATGCTTTTAAAAACTAATGAAACTCAAAGCGTACGTTCGTGCTCATCGTGCCACTGTGACCCTAAACGGAGTAAAATGTGTGGCGGCACGGGTGAAGTTGGTTACTGTGAGCTGACTAGGTGAAATGATGCGCTTTCTCGAGCAGCGTCAACATAGTTATGCCTTCTCTACATATGCCGAAATCTGCCGTAGGTCTCATTCACGGCCTAGCGGTATGCACCAAAGTGTCCGATTCTCGCTCGTCGTCATACTCTCTCGTTTATTCTCCATACTCCGTGCCCAACATCTCCTCATCTAGTCCACATCACAGGGAAGAGATCTTCAATGCAAGCACTTCGATAATTGCTTCTGCCTTTTTACTGGCGATCGTACCAGCTCCAGTACTGTTTTTCAACCAAGTGACCACTTCTTTTGGAAAAAAAGAATGACTTCTACCAAAATCTCCATATCACCTGTATCACCTGTCGTCCCGTTGATCGTCGATTTGCTCGAGCGGGCGCCAGCAACGTCTCTCCATTCGTCCCTGTCGCGTGCTAGGGTGGTCCAGTGGATCCTCCTTGCTCGAGGGACACGAAGTCCATCATTCCTTTCGTCAGAGCTTTCGTGAAGAAGTCTGACCACAGCAAATTTCCATATATAGAAGAAAAATAAGCACTGAAGAAAGTGATTACGGTAGAGCAGCACTTGGGTAGTATATGCTCTCGAAGCGGTAGCAAGGCTGCCGAGAAGTAAGATGGAGTACTTTCACAACGAACGTGCGCTTGGTTGTACCAGCACTTGAAGCCAATCGTCCTAATTTGCTTCACCACCTAATGGCTTAGTTGCGTGAGTCGAGAAGCTGTGTTGCTGTACTTTCATTTGGATTAAGATTGTTGACTTCACTTCTACATTTCCCACTATGTATAAATCTTTGAGCCGGAGCATGGATTATGCATGATTGTCTGACACAGCGTCGGCTTTTTCAGTACGGGGGCGGAGAATAGCAGGGCGACGGCTTCGTATACTCATGAGTAGTTTGTTCACTGGAGATCCATGCGTTCTTCTCAAAGCGTACAACGCCTATGTTCATTATTTTCAGAGTATGGAAGTAGTACTCTCATTATGCATTCTAACACTATTATTAGGGAATTTGGGAATCCAGTTCCAGACGGAAAATCTTAATACAGCTCTTGGATTCAATTATAATATAAACCAGAGACGGTGTTTGGAATAAAATGCTAATAATCGACCTCCTCTTCAAAAGAAAAATAATTTGATCTAATAACCGTGTTTAAAACCCTCACAGGAAAGATAGATGTAGAATTTCAAGACATCTTGCATTCCTAATCACAAATCGAGTAAGAAGTAAACAAAAAAAAATGTTTTTTGTCTGCCGGCCTTGGAGTAAATACTAAATGGCATACTTCACTTGAATCAAGTCAGCTATTCGATTTTCAGAACTGTCTGAAAAGTCGTTTTGTCTAGAAGCACAGCTCAATTCCGAATCATCTTGAGGTGCTATCTGGAACGTTGTTAAGCCCTTTCCCGGCTGGAAGCAGGGTCGACCGTCGCGTTCGCACGTTTCCAAAACTTTGCAATGCCCCCCCCCCTGAGGTGGCCTCAATACCGCCACCATCACTAGCCTTGGTTAGCTACCTCAATACGACCTCTCTCCCCTCACCGGTCTGAAAGGACGTCTGGAAAAGATTGCCCTCTTTCGCTGTGCCCTCACCATCGCTCTAAGGTCCACAAATGCGATTCCCATTCACACTCTCCCCAAAAATGGTTAATCTTACGAGTATTCAACTCCAAATACGACTCTCTCCCGCTCTTTCATAAACCAGGTGTGATTCCCTCGTTCATACTGCGAACCCACAGTTGACTCTGGTGGGAAGCAGGGTCAACCGTGCGTTCGCACTATTCAAACGAGGGGGTCGCATTTGCGTTTTGGAAAGGGAGAAGTCGCATCCAGGTGGGGGGCCGGTGAATGAGAATTTGTTAGAAACGTGATTTACATGCGTTTTTCTTTCGAGAAATTGTTCGAAAAATTTGTCCCTCACGCCTTTACCACCCCCCCCCCGCCCCGCCGCTCGCGCTTTTGGAGGAATTGTGGGGGCGACTGGGCTGTGTAGTCGCGTCTCATGAATTTAAAACATATAGAAACATAAGAACAGAATGATGAGAAGTGATGATCGCGTAGAAGAGAGTGCGTCGTATTGGGCGAGCCTCATGACTCTAGTGGGGACTGAGACCCCCGGAAGGGCGGAAGGGCCGAGAAATTTGAAAAATGCAACGTTACGGTTGACCCTGGTTGCGAAATCCATCTTTCAATGGCTGTCGCGACCTGGTGCCCCGAGGTGGTGGTGGATGAAGCGCATCGGTGGCGGAGCACCGAGGACACGGCAGAACGGGTATTAGAAGGGCCCGAACACCCTGTCCTAGGGGATGCGTCGCGTAAGGAATGCTCTGACGACTGTTGCCTGCCGCGAGCCTGGTGAGGCCCTCTCCCCTATCTGACGACCTTACGACCGTGCTGCTAAAGATGTGTACATATATTGCTACATAACAGAACACTAAGTATTAAGGTGATTTATACTAATATTACAATAGATTTGCGAGACTACGTTATTATAGATATCCGTTAGGAGAAGGTAATCGAGGAACCTACGCCACGATCGGAAGGATAAGCGCGAGTGTATGCGGCCGACTCGTTGCCTGTCGTAGATGGGGTTGACGGCAGCTCCAACCATGGCTGAGGACTCCACGGACACGACCGCTCGGCGAGACGACTGGAACGACGACTGACAGACAGACGAGCGCGGGCCAAGGCAGAGATGCAGAGCACTTCCCGCACTTCTGGATGTTGCATGCGTTCAAACCATGGGAAAGTGTCTGCGTCCGTGGGAAGGCGTAGTATTTCGTCCTCCATAGCGTGGAGAACGTGGCTGGAGCACGGGAAATGTATCGGCGCATACCTTGCACGTTGAAAAGGTCGTGACGAGAGTCGCGACATTTGTTACCTCATGCAGATAATCACTTTTTTGCTCCTTTTTACTGCCTTATGCTTTTTCCTATTCTAGAAACTTGTGATTGTCATTTTTATTGGTTAAGTTGTATTCCTCCACGAAAAAAAGCATATGCAATAAACAAAATAAATAAATAACTCTAAGCGTCGTGATTGTCGGCATGGTTCCGGTCATAGAGGTTAATATTAGGTTGAGCAATAACTATCCGCCGTTTTCGTTTCACTCACGAGTTTTTAACAAAACTAAACAAAAACAACAATAAATGCGCAATCAACAAACGCTCTCGGACAGTTTTCTCTGCAACCGTGCCTTCATTCCAGGCTTCGGTCATTTTTGCTCACGTATAAGCTCCATAGTGAAGTAAATACACAAGTGTTGCACATCAAAATGTACAAGCGATTGAGCACTTTCAAAATACATCATAAACTTTGTAAAAATAATCAGCAAAAATCAAAAAAAGCATGAGCCTGGAAAAATGATAATTATTGCTCACTAATGCTCCCAGAGGACCACTTTCGTGACCGCTGCTCATCAAGGTCGAAAGTGAAAGGGCAAATGACCGGGACCTTCCCGTATTCGCAACGGATTTCTCTTATTTTCATCATTGACGTACCACTTAGGAACAGCACTTACCCTCTAACCCCCCCCGACCGCCTTATCACTGCCTCTAGTACCTTTTTACATTTACATTAATTTTTGCACAGCCTTATGTTTCAGGACGATTCCGATGCAGCAGCCTTTCCGGGACGTATCTTACCTTCCTCTTACGGCTTGGGATGGAGAGGATATGTCATGCCGATGTACACCGGAGAAAAGGTAGGTAACAAAGAAATGCCTAATGTGCTAACCAACTGAAAAAAGGAAACAAAAAAGAAAACAGACTAGTTGATAAAGCGGTGCAAGCACCAGCGATTAGGTTCGGGAAGAGTTTCATTGACCAACCAACTTCCCTCCTCCTAGGTCAATTACAATCGCATGTCTGAGCTAGTCGGAGTCAATTTTTGAACAATTTTCTTGCCGTTTTCTAAAATCTGAAATACATGAACTTTTTTTGCAAAAGCAAGGCATCGCAAAGTTCCGCCCAGTAAATCGATGTAAATGAACTTCCTGATGACGTTCTGTTCAGAAATGGGCTTCAAACGAGCGTACGATTCCCTCTAGTCACGCTCAATTATTAGGAGATGATGAATTATCACGAATTGAGGTATTTCTTATAAGTGCACCGAATTTGTCAATCAGTCAGTCATTTTGTTGATGTGTCAGTTTGTCCGGCTCTGGGGATTGCACGTTAGGAGCTCGCTACTGCGACGGCGAGCCGAAAATTCTTAAAGCAACAGTCCCAGCAGGGTGGGCGTGGTCGGAAACGACTGCAATCCCCTCGGCCGATTCCGACCACGCCCACTTCAGCTCCCTCCCTAGCGGCTTTCCAAGGTGAGTTTTTGTTCAGTCACACTTCTTACGTTCTTGACTAGGGGCTGAACAGCTCCGAAGTGGGAATCGGCCGAGGGGATTGCAGCCGTTTCCGACCACGCCCACCCTGCTGGGACTGTTGCTTTAAGATGCGCGTGACACCGTGACGGGTACCCGACAGGAGGCCCGTCGCGCGGCAAGAAGGCAGAGTCAGCGGACGAGTCGCAGCGCGTACTGTAGTGATTTCGCGTCAAGTTAAATAGAATGTACCACTGCACGTCCTACATCGCACAGCACGCGCTGCGACTCTACCTTCTTGCCACGCGACGGGCCTCGTGTCCACCATGATGGCTCCGGTGTGTTATGGATCGTAGTGCGCGCGCAAGGGCACTCTTCCATCACCGCAGTCACGACTCCTGGTTCATACCAATCTGTTCACAAAATCTTTTTTTTTTCATAAAACAAGTCCGCCCGATGGACGTCCTCTGTTCCGTATCAACTATTATTTTTTGTTTATTTGCGCTAAAGCTCCGTCAAATGGACCAGATGGTGTTTTACTAGTGCGATAACCAGACAGTGTTTTACCAGTACCTCGCAAAACTTTAATCATTGATCATGAATCACCATCAATCAGAACCGATGCACTGTAGTTATGATGGTCAAGTTATCGAATATTAGTGATATTTGATTTCGATGCACCGGATCTTATCCCATTTTTGGATGAGAGACTCCTTTGTTCAGGCACAACATGATACCAGATATGCACGAGGGAGTGGGCGAGGTGAAGCACGCAGACGCATGGCAAGCCTTCCCAAATTTTCGCTTGTCTTAAGATGCACGGCATATGTCCTTGGTTGCTTCTAAGTCACCGAGCACCCTAAGGCAAAGCCACAAAAACGTGATACCTAGAGTGCACACCGCTTGAGAAGCTTCACATAAAGGCATCATTACATAGCACCAATTCTAGCGCCGAGCAAGCAACGAACTAGGGTTTTCATGCTGCTTGATTGAAGTCCTAATTGCAGAGATCGATGACGGAAAAGATGAAGAGCTTGAAAGGGCGATACAATGGCCAGATTCGTGACATCCTTTTCGGGAAGTGAGGAGGCAATAACGATAGAAAAACGTGTGCGACTGGGACGACTTCTTTTCTTCAACTGTTCAGTGAATATCATTTTTTGTTTGTTGTACATCACTGTTCAGTCATTTGACAATTCGCTGAAATAAACATTTGCTCTGTGATTTGGTTTTGAAATTTCTGAATGTATGTGAATTCACAGAGACGATTGTAGAACGTGACATCGAAATAAGTGGCCGCTGCGAGAGTTTCATTCAGTGTTTGCTCATAGAAATTTCTATTTCAAGACAACCAAATTACTGGACAGTAATTTGGTGCACTATCATGTATCCCGCAGTGACAGTTTATACAGACTATGCGGTGGCGGACTGTACAAACGGCTACGCTTTACCGCATTACGGCACCTTTGTGTCCCTAGCAATGTTCAAAGAGGTACGTGACCCAGTACTGCTCACACCGGCAATACTCTCCCAGGCGTCAGGTGAAGTCTCTGGTGGTGATCTCGCAAGTGAATCGGGATCAGAACATTGAAAACTCCCTCACACCACGGTATAAGAACTCTCTTTTTTGTGTGCTCGTCGTCAGAAGCTGATCTCCGAACACTTTGATTAAGAAGCCGACTGATGAAATACGATGTTATCGCTTTACAAGAGCCGAATAGTAGAATGGAAACCATCAGGAGAACCGACTACAACGAGATGCTCATCATTGGAGCCAAGGTTGATAGCATGAACACCGGTGGAGTTGGACTTCACATGAACTCATTAGTTGCCAGTTTAAAAGAGTCTCACAAAATTGCCAGTGTACGCCTTCCTGTTCTTCGCCTCGACCAAGGGCCAGAATGTAAGATGTGATATCTATCATCAATGGATATGAACAACCATTCGCGGCCACAAATGAAGAATTCAAAGGATTTACAGTCGATATCCGCAAGTTGGGGTGGGTGTGTCACCGCTGCTGTTGCCAGCATGCTTTGCTGA